AGGGGGGCTGCATATTTATTAAATTGATATACTGCCCATTTCACTGTCACGTGACTTTATACAGCTATACAGGAAAAGTGATCTACTACTAGGTTTTTTAAAAATAAAATTCTAGTTCATGTTAAAAATCTGGGATTCCCTTGGTTCCAAGGAATAACAACAACAACAACAACAACAACAACAACAACAACAACAACAACAACAACAATAATAATAATAATAATAATAATAATAATAATAATAATAATAATAATAAAGTTGGACCTTGGAGGTCATGTAGTCCAACCCCCTGCTCAGGAAGGAAACCCTATACCATTTCAGACAAATGGTTGTCCAGTCTCTTCTTCAAGACCTCCAGTGTTGGAGCATCCACAACTTCTGGAGGCAAGCCATTCCACTGATGGATTGTTCTCAGCATCAGGAAATTTCTCCTTAATTCTAGGTTGGCTCTCCCTTTGATAAGTTTCCTTCTGTTACTCCTTTTCCTGTCTTCACGTGCTTTGGAGAAGAGGTTGACCCCCCCTCTTTTTTGTGATAGTCCTTCAAGTATTGGAAGACTGCCATCAAGTCATCCCTAGTCTTTCACTTCATTAGACCAGACACATCTGGTTTCCTCAGTTGTTTATCAAAGAATCCCACTCATGCAAGAAGACTTGAATGAGGGGGTCAACTAAGAATTGAGAGACAGAGTGGTGGAAGGATGTTGGGTTTAGACCAAAACCCAACTTCAGTCATTGAGTGGCTCTGAAGCAGGCACTCTTTCTCAGTCCAGCCTACTTTACAGGGCTATGGTTGTGGATAAAACTGAAGGAGCCATGAGCTCCTGAAGGAAAGCAAGAATCTGCTTTTGCCAACATGTTGATTAACTCATTTGGTTAACTCAATTAAACCGTGGAACAACCTGCCTCCAGAAGTTGTGGATGCTCCATCACTGGCGGTTTTTAAGAAGAGACTGGACAGTCATTTGTCTGAAAGGGTATAGAGTCTCCTGCTTGAGCAGGGGGCTGGACTAGAAGACCTCCAAGGTCCCTTCTAGCTCTATTCTATTCTAACATGTAAATAACAAATGCAAGGGCAGAAAAGGGCAAACTCCCACACTGCCGCCTGTAGATATAAACCTCTACACTCTACACAATAAAAACACTTGCACAACTCTGATCCCGCCATACAAACCTCTACACTCTACACAATAAAAACACTTGCACAACTCTGATCCCGCCATTATCTTAATTCTTGTTGTTTTCTGCAAATACAAGAGAAACCCAAATATTCCTGAAACTACCTTCTATAAAACATCTGCAAACATCCCAGGATCTTTGCCCTTCTTAAGGCTCTCCATATTATGTGTGAAGAAGAAAAGACTAAACCTTGTGATGTTGAGCTTTCGACTTAATCCTCTGAATTTTAATTGCTTTGTAATTATCTCTCTCTTTTATTTTTTTTACTTTTTTTTTATTACGTTGGAAGCCGAGTTGTTGTATCAGTGAGATCAGGGGGTATAAAAAAAAAATATCATAAATGGAAGATTCTGATCAGCAACCTTGAAGGAGCACGATTTAGTTTGCTTCCTACACGGGTTCAACTTTTGTTGTCTCTCTCTTCCACAGAGGATCTCAAAGGAAAGAAAGAGAGAGAGAGAAAAAAAACACACCACCTTGTTTTAACTGCCATCCGTTGTTTAATCTCTGGGAACCGTCCAAGTCTTTCTTTGACAAGGTCCCCTGAGATAAAACTGGCACACGTTGCACAGCACGTGTGACAAGCCCTAAGTGTGGTTTACCAGCCAATGTCTCAACCCCTGCCCTTGTGACTAGGAAACAGCCATCTGTGGTTTGTTTGGAGCATATTCTTGTAGGCAGGAGTCTAGTTGATTAGCAACCTCTCCGTTTTCAGTGTAAGACAAACCACAGGGACAATTTCTGATTAGATGGGTCTGGCAATGCAGTGTGCCAATATCTCAGGGGCTGCCCCAAAGAAGAGGGAGTCAAGCTCTTCTCCAAAGCACCTGAAGGCAGGACAAGAAGCAACGGATGGGAACTAATCAAGGAGTGGAGCAACATGGAACTAAGGAGAAATTTCCTAATAATGAGAACAATCAACCAGTGGAACAACTTGCTTCTAGAAGCTGTGGGTGCTCCATCACTGGGGGTTTTTTAAGAAGAGACTGGACAGCTGTTTGTCCAGAATGGTATAGGCCGGGTCTCCTGCTTGAGCAGAGGGCTGGACTAGAAGACCTCCAAGGTCCCTTCCAATTCTGTTATTCTATTTATTCGAATACAGCAATTGGTTTGAGATGTTCATCCTCCATTCATTGGCAGCTTTTGAATTCCCTTTGAGCCACGGGCATGGAGTCGGTGGCTTCAAAGGTTATCAGAAAACTGAGCTACATCTTTCCTTTTTTTTCTACATCTGGGTTAATGAGCCCCCGAGGAGCTTGTACTTGTTCCCCACATCTGGGAGAGGCAACCTTAAGACAGAAAAGTTGGGAACAGTGGACTGTCTGGCTCCTTTTAATTGGCCAATTCACTACAGTTTGGGGGCAAATACGCTGTGCAAATCCTCAACCAACTAAGCGAACGTTGGAAAAGTGCCCAAGTGAACAACATCCGTCTGCAGTTGTACCCAAGCTTTTTTTTGTTGTTGTTTTCTTCCAGGAAGCAGAGCAAAACGCACACAAACACAGCCTCCAGTTACAAGCTAGCGAGAACTCTCGCACGCTAAGAAGGTTTGAACCCAAAAAAATGTTTGCACACCTTCCCATATGGAGGCTAAAAGTCCCTGCACTTGTTATGTCTAGCTTGCTGTCAAGAGAGAGAGAGGCAAGAATTCAGCTCTCCTGTTTCTAAATAAAACCCTGCAAAGGCGTATGTGTTTGTGTGTGTTTCTTTTCTTTTCATTTTTTTTTTGCTGCCTCCAAAGGACTGCAAAGACTCCTGTTATTATGTTTATTTACCCAACCGGCGGCCAAACGACGAAGCCAAACCAGAAAGGGCAGTTTGAAGCAGGAACGAAACATTTGCTGGACAGAATCCGACCAAAGAAAGAATAACTCCAATCTCTCTCCTTAAAATTTGAGTTTCTCCAAGAATAACTCCAATCTCTCTCCTTAAAATTTGAGTTTCTCCTAGAATAACTCCAATCTCTCTCCTTAAAATTTGAGTTTCTCCAAGAATAACTCCAATCTCTCTCCTTAAAATTTGAGTTTCTCCCACGGTAAGCCAGAACCAGCTAACAGTCTTCCCATGCATGACTTTTTAACCACTTGCCTAGAGTAGGCTCAATCTATCAAGTTTCTTTTTCATTCAACATTTCTTTTAACAGAGTTTCAAAAAAAAAAA